TTTCAGGACCAAATGTTACAATCAAGGCAGGAATATTAAACAGACTAAAGGGATCACATATTGGCGGGTGTATTTCTTTGTTGAAATTTTTAAAAAACATTTAAAACAAAATTGAAATTTATTTAAAGAAAGGTTTCAATATAGATTTGTGTGCAGGCATAGCAGGGACTTAACCTACAGATTCAGGCATGCTAGGCAAAGTATCCACCACTGGGATATACTTTTCTCAGAACTATATTTTTGCAGGAATCCCCAGAACTATATTTTTACATGTAAATAAAATAGGCATATTGTTGGGGAATAATCTTTTTGTACACTGTGAAGATGTGTCACTCAAATTGATTTAATAAAAAGCTGAACAACTAATAGTTAGGCAGAATTTCGGGAGCAAAGAGAATACTGGGAAGAATGAAGAGATGCCATAAGACGCAGAGAGAACAAGATGGGCATTACAGAGGTGAGGTAATAAAGCCACGAGGCAAAAAGTAAATTAATAACAATGGGCTAATTTAAGTTATAAGAGCCAGTTAGAAACAAGCCTAAGCTATCAACCATGCCTTCATAATTAATGGTAAGTCTCCATGTCATTATTTGGGAGCTGGTTAGTGGGACAGAGAAAGACTCGCTACATATGGCACCCAACATTCAGTCATGTATTTCCATATAAGACCTGAAAAAGTTTTAAAAAGGTTACAAACACACAAAAGTAGAGCCAAACACACCTTCCTAGGTCTGTAGTCTCTTATGCGGGACTAAGCACAGAGATGTGTCTCCTAATCACTGCCTGAGGGCTTGAGCTGTGTGGTGGTTTAATATTTTGCTCATGCAAACAGAAAAGGTTACAGAAATGCAGTAAAACAGGTTCAGACTTTAAAAAAACTCTAAACAGGTTACAGTGTATTTAACAATATGTGTAGACTTAAGAAAAAAAGAAAAAGTATAGTCATAAAAATGAATGAATAAATATTCTTGCATTTCATGCATTTATTTTATTTTAAAACAAAAGCCTTTATGTAGGGTTCTTTGCATTGTATAAATTCCTAAAAAAAGTATTGATTGAAAAGTCACATTTTTAAAGTCCTCAGTAGTTCTGGGCACTCAACTTTCCAAGACTATGGCAATTATTAGCATTTATACCAGGGTATGTGCTTCACCAAGTCATCCTGCACTATTGGTTTTCAGGCACATTTTTACCATTTGATCACTGAGAAGTGACATCTGCTGGTTTGCACTAGTTTCTCATCTGCTGGGATTTTAGAATTTGAACATTTTCTGGGATGCTTAAGTTTGTCAGTCAGCAGCTTGTGTATGTTAGCTCTTTCTCACTTGCTCAAAAGAAATTTGTTTTCCCCATAACCCTGATTTGTTTGTTTCAGGCCTTTCTGATGCCATAAAGCTTTTTAAAATCACCTTTCACAATCAATATTTTAAAAATAATAGAAGAAATGCTTTAAAGAAAGAGTAAAGTAATAAAAAAAAACAAGCCATGTCGAGATGGGAAATACACAAGGAGTCTGGATCCTATAAGTTATTGTGTTGTCTTTGAACTTTTTGATTGCTGATAAGCAAAAGCCAGCTGCTGGGAGACACTGGATTGTGAAAGGGACTGTGGAAATAAGCCAGCCTAGAAATTTTAGGAATGCCTTAACTTTAAAATGGAATACAGAAAATGTATTGCTTTGGGAAGCAGTTTGTTCAAGATTAGTAGACATCAGGCTTGATCAGGTAAGATCCCCGAAAATCCTGGTTACAGACATGAAGAAATAAACCTAAAATAACTACAAGACAGGTGACATATATTTTACCCACTCAAACAAAACAAAAAAATCATCTTTGGCTGGGTTGTAAACAACACATAGTCCATACTTGTGTTAATGCAGACATGTATGTTACTTTTGAAAGTCTGTGTTTTCAGAGCAAGGGAACCAAACACCAATGAAAATGGGTGATCCAGGTGACCTAGCCTCTCAGAGTGCCTGTGTTACAATTTCCTCAGAGTTCTGTATCCACAACAGCTTCAAAGCTGCTTGGTTAAGATGTTTCAGGCCTACAGACTATTCTAGTCAGGACTTGACCATTATCCTAATTTTCTCAGGGTTCCCCAAAGATCACCGTTCCCTCAGACAACAGAAAACAGTCTAAAGAACACAACACTCGCATTCCCAAGAGATGGGGTGGAGGGTTTTTGGTGATTCAGTGGGTTATAGATGTTTGTCATTGTTTAGGGAGTTACAAATTGTTATTGGGTCATGGGCAAAAAAATTGAAGAAAGGGGATTAGATTCAAAGATCTCTTTTAGAAGAGAAAAAGGGGGAACACAGTATAGAAATGATGGGATATAATGATTGTTGAGTCTACTTTAGAACAATGAGTAGTCATAAATATTTTACACTGGTACGGATTTTAGTATATTGCTAAAAAAATAGTAATTTTGTTATACTGAATATATACTTCTATTCTTGTTTGGGATATCGTGCTTATGCAGTTCATTTAAAAATCTAATGCATAATTAAGAAAAGCAGGTTAAGCTGTGCGATGGTGGTGCACACCTTTAATCCCAGCACTCAGGAGGCAAGGGCAGGTGGATCTCTGTGAGTTCGAGAACAGCCTGGTCTGAACAGTGAGTTCCAGGACAGGCGCCAAAGCTATAGAGAAATCCTGTCTCAAAAAACCAAAAAAAAGAAAGAAAGAAAGAAAGGAAAAGAAATGCAGGTTAATAGTCATTTATATAATCAAACTTGTAGTGATATCAGGTATATTTTCAAGGTAAAATAGATATATTTTAGGTAGATATATGATCTTAAAACACTTCAAGGACCTAAAGAATATAGCATTTAAGATGTTTAATAACCTGAGAATTTTCATGGCAATGAAACACGTCTGTTCCTGCCAGCACCAATTTACTTCAGAAAGGATGATGGGCACTGAAGAACCTCCATGTGGAGCTTGCTTTCTTTGTGGCAAAAATAGCCATTTGGCCAAGAAACTGCTCTTGTCTTAACTGATGACAGCATGCTGTACAAACTGGACAAGGAGGACACTAAGGAAAAAGATTGTCTAATTTTTCCAAGATAAGGCAAAACTATCCTTTAAAGTTGTTGCTTCCTAAAAAAAGTCTGCCAGATATTCTAGGCCTATAGGCTGAAGACTGGGTGCCACAACACTGCAGAGGATCTTTGAGTGATTGTCCAGGTAGACAGATGTCTATGCTGTTTCCTTATTTTTGGAAGTTGCTTACAATGCTCTTTATTTATTCAGGTAATATTATATCCTTCTAAGGTCTTTGATGGAGCTGAATACTAGATATTTATAGTTAAACTTTTCCATAGTTATGACAGAAAGTCAATTGGGTATAAAACTTTGGATTCACCAAGATAGGATAAATAATGGAATATTTTCTTTGAAATTGCCAAATACAAATGGACTGGATATAGTAAATGCAATTCTTACCTGATAATTATTCTTATTATATATAGTTTTACCAAGTCTTTCCTTTTTATTTAGACAAAAGGGGGAAATATTGTGGAATATTTTTTTTTGTTCATTTGAAGGTGTGTTACTCAGATTCACTTATTAGAAACGGCCAATAGCCATGCAGGATTTGGGGGCAGAGATGATGTTGAAAAGGAGGAGGAAATACCAGGGGCACAAATCAAGCAACATGAGAATTACAAAGTAAAGGTAACTGAGCCATGTAAAAGAATGGAGAATAAAAAATATGAGTTAATTTAAGTTATAAGAACTGGTTAGAAACAAGCCTAAGCTACCAGCCAAGCTTTCCTAACAATAAACCTCTTTGTGGTTACTTGGGAACTGGAAGGTGAGACAAAAAAATCTGCCTACAACCTATCTCAGCACATAACAAAATATATTTTTACTTTTTTTCATTATGTACCTTAATAATGTTAAGTAGTCTGGAAAATAAAGGTAGCTATTTTCAACCCCTAAAAAATTAATACGATTATCAAATAATCTGGCAAATTCACTTCTATATATGTACCCCAAAATATTAAACATAGTGTCCCCAAAAGGATATTTGTATACCCATGTTCACTGCAACATCATTCACAATAGCCAAAAAAATGAAAGACACCCAAACATCCATCAGTGGTTGAATATATAAAATGTACATGTGTGTGCACTATATACTATATATAGTATATGTACTATATATATATATGCATATATACAGTGTATCTGTGAAGTGTTTAAATAATATAAAAACATATATATTATCCAGTCTTTAACAGAAAGGAAATTCAAAAACATTCTATTGCATGATCTCTGTGAGTTTGAGGCCAGCCTGGTCTACAAGAGCTAGTTCCAGGACAGGTACAAAGTTACAGAGAAACCCTGTCTCTAGAAACAAAAAAAAGGAAAAGTTATATGGGTATAGTGGTACAGGTATCTATAGGTACAGGTAGAGTGGAACAGACCTGACTTCTCAGCACTCAAGAGACACAGGCAGAAGGATCATAAGTTCAAGACCATACTTACTAAATCCTGTCCCAAAACAAAACAAAACCAAAAAAGTTATTGCAACAATGACAGAAAAAGGCAAATTATAAATAAAGACTAGACAATAATGACAAAATTTTCAAAGTGATTATCTCTAAATGGTGGAACTACTGGAATTTTTCCTCATATGTTTAATATTTATGGTACACCATATGCATTATAATTATAAGGTTAAAAATACTGTTTTGCTCTTTGAGCATAAGCACTACAGAGACCATTATAGACAAACATTACTGTGTTTAATCCAAAACTGACAGAGCTATACTGAAATACTAAATTCACTGTGAAATTTAGAAATTGTATGTATGTCTCATACATACAATCCTAAGCCATATGTATAGAAATAGGAAGCACTGTAAGTTTTGATCCTTTCATGGGTGGGAAGGAGCTTCTTACCTTGCTTGGGGTGAGTCACAATCTCATGACTTAACATGAAAATTCAAGTAAAGAACATAATACACCACCAGTAAAAGAGTACTCACTCTCCACAGACCCCTGGTACCTTCTTGCTGGTATATGTCAATGAAGCTGCCAATCATGCTCCCTTGGAACAAACTTCCTTGAGCCTGCATTCGAATCTAAAACGGAAGAAGGGAACATTCTATTTTCACAGAGAAAACCAAAGTGAGACAATTCAATCCTTTAATATTAAGGAATTATTTTTAAATCTCTGCTATTATGATGAATTAAATTATACACAAAAACATAATTTGTGCCAAAGTATAGTCTATAAAGATTGTCATTAGGCCTCATATTTCCCACAGTAAATCTGTCTTTTCTAGACTTGCTCAATAACAAATGTTCATGAAATATAGCGTGGTGGCGCAGGCCTTCAATCTCAGCACTCAGGAGGCAGAGACAGGTGAATTTCTGTGAGTTCAAGGCTTGCCTGGTCTACACAATGAGTTCCAGGGCACTAATGGCTACATAGTAAGATCCATGTAATTAATTTAGTAAAGAATTAGGGACTACTCAAACGTACAAAAACCAATGTCAACAACTTTTGGTTACATAAATGATGAAACATTAATTTCACAGAATACAGTGGAGCCATAACATTTTCCCCTAAAGTATTTGTAGACTTTAGAAGGTATTAAAAATTAATTGTTAAACATGCCAGGAGGTGGAGGCACATGCCTTTAATTCCAGCATTCAGGAAGCAGAGGCAGGTTGAATCTCTGCAAGTTCAAGGTCAGCCTGGTCTACAAGAGCTAGTTCCAGGTTCCAGGACAGGTACCAAAGCTACACAGAGAAACCTTGTCTCAAAAAAAAAAAAAAAGAAAAGAAAAGAAAGAAAGAAAGAAAGAAAAATTAATTGCTAAACATAAAAGTGCTGTTTCTTACCAAAAATGTAAATTAAAAACTATAAACACAGCAAGAAGACTAGATGATGGTATGTACCTAATATTAACCGAGGTTTACATATGAATGGGGAGTCTATAAGTGAGGATTGTTTTCTTTTGAGTTCAATTTTTAGAACTCACGGTCAAAAGAGACCTGATTCCAAAAGGATTGACCTAACCTCCACCTGTACATACACGTGTACCCCCCCACAAATATAGTAATGATAGCGATGATAAATTTATTTGGGGGCTAGAGTACTAGCTGTTATTGCCGAAGACCTGGGTTTGGTTCTCAAAACCAATATGGCAGCTCACAACTCTCCTTAACTATGGGTTCAGGGGACCCAATGCCCTCCCTCTTCAGGTTCTATGGGAACTAGGCACACATGGTACACATGCACACATTTAGGCAAAGTACACATACACAAAAAAATAAATGTTTAAATTTTTAATTTAATTTTCTTTCTTTTTCGTTTGTTTTTTTGAGACAGGGTTTCTCTGTGTAGCTTTGGCTATCTTGGAACTCATTCTGTAGACCAAGCTGGCTTCCAGCTCACAGAGATTCACCTGCCTCTGCCTCCTGAGTGTTTGGATTAAATATGTGTGTCACCAATGCCCAGCTAATTTTATTTTTAAAAAGAATGACAATTTATACCAGACAATCAAATGCATACCAGACAATCAAATAATGACCAGTTTTATATTTGTAGATTAAATCAATCACCAATTGAAAAATATTTGGAAAAAAACTGCATCTGTACTGAACACATGTAGAGTTTTTCTTTGTCATTATCTCTGGCATAATATAACAACTATTTACATATGTTTACGTTATATTAAACATCATAAGTAATCTAAAGTGGACTTAAAATATTTAAGGGAATATGCACAGGTTATACATAAATACTGCTTCATTCTGTGTAAGGGACTTGAGCATCTAAGATTTTGTTATTCACTGGGGCAAAGTCCTGCAAGAAAACCTCTAAAAGATTGGGATGAATAAACTCTGCTGTAATCACTGTAAGTTGAATCTCCTAGCAGTTGGTTTGCATTATCCTGGATCCTGATTTGTACTTTCTCTTATTAATAAGCAATGAACTTGAATTTTTTTTCTTGTAACTCACAGCTGGAAACATGACTCAGCAGTTAAGAGAACTTGCTGGTCTTCCAGAGGATTCAGGCATGACTCCTGTACCCATATGGCAGCTCACAACTGTCTGTAACTCCAGTTCCAGGGATTTGGATGTTCTCACCTGGCTTCCATGAACACTGCTTGCATGTGGTACACAGACATACATGCAGGCAAAATACCCCCAAATATAAAATAATACTATTTAAACTTGAGATTCATGGTTGTAAATACCTCTATACCCAGTAAGCAAACCAGACTACATAAGATTCTATTTCAGAAAAAAAATCCCAGTTTGTGGTCCCTCACATTGTTTAATCACATATTTTGTGCTTTATTAACTAAGAAGGAATGTTTTTTTTTTCAAGACAGGGTTCTTCTGTGTAGCTTTGGAGCCTGTCCTAGAACTCACTCTATAGACTGAGCTAGCCTCAAACTGCCAGTTTTTGCTATAAGTCAACACACCATCTGAAGATTTGTAATTGGTAAAGGATATGCCTTTGTTTTGTAAAATGGGAAAAGGGCTAGTAGAAATACAAATCCATTCTCACACCACTTAAAGAAAACAGAGTAAGGAATTTAGAAAACAATTCCCTAGAACTGCACAGCTCTGAAAATACCCTATAATGGGTTAAAAGCCCAAGCTGAAAACCACTGAACATCTACTATGAAGCACGTTATACATATTTAAATATATTATCTCTAATTCTTACCAACTTTATGCTCTATGCACTGAGATTTTCCCAAGAGTTTAGAACTAACAATAGACAGTGTAAGACTCAAAACTCAAATCTGAGTTAAAGCTGCCGTCTTTCTGCTCATATAGCAGACATCTATCTCTCTTACCTTTAGAACATCAGTGGGATTGGCTATAGTCGATGAAATCACTCCTGACACTACCCCACAGATCATATTAATTAGGAGAGTTTCATCTGTAAAAATGTAAAATAAACAAAATGAACAGATAGAGAGAGAAAGAGAGAGCCAGCTAGACAGACAGAGAGAGAGAGAGACAGAGAGAGAGAGAGAAAAGTTCATTTTATTAAGTACTGGTTTCTCAGAGTACCTGAGACTGTAGGAAGGAAAGATTTCCTGGAGAGACGACTTAAAAATTAACTTCAAGATTTATCAAAGTAAAGATTCTCAAATATTTGTAGAACATCCCAAATTTATACAAAATATAAATTATAAAATATAAACCATTATTTCCTTAAAAACACTATTTCGAAGACATCATATTCTTCAACATAATTGTCAGTATAAGACATAAATTCTCAACCACTTCAAATATACTAATACATTTACTTGTAAGTCTCTTAAATTTTTTGAGATCATAATCTATGGGGTGTCTTTTGTTTTATTTTGTTTTTCTGTTTTTCAAGACAGGGTTTCTCTATGTAGCCCTGGCTGTCCTGGAACTCAGTCTGTAGACCAGGCTGGCCTTGAGCTCAGCGATCTGCCTGCCTCTGCCACCCAAATATTAGGGATTAAAGGTCTGTGTCACCGCCTGAGATTATAATTTAATTACAATATTTCTTCCTTCCCTTTCCTCCCTCCAAACCCTTCCATGTATGTGTCCTTGTTCTTCAAATTTATGGCTTCCTTTTTCACTAATTGTTATTACATGTAAATATGTACATACATACATATTCCTAAATATAACCTGTTCAGTCTCTATAGTACTATTTGTATGTATGTTTTCAGGACTGACCATTTGGCACTGGACAAGCAATGGGTGTGCTCTTCTCTGGGGAAGACCACCTCTCGCGCTCCCAGCTTTCTGTAATTGCCTATAGTTCTTTGTGTAGGGCTGAGGTCTCGTGGGCTTTTTCCTGTCCAGTTTGGCATATCAGTTGATGTCATCCATGTTCAATTTTGAAGTCTTTTTATGAAAAGTTAACTTTAAAGAATAACTAGATGCTAAAAGCTATAGTCTTATGTGTAATAAAGTTATGTAAATATTAATGCTGAATGGCTTTAGAGCTCTCCTAGCCTCCATGTATGTAAGGTTTCTGTAGTCAAATATGAAAAAGCAGTAGTATAATTCCTGCTGCAAATAATGAATGGAAAGAATTAGACATGCAGACCAGCAGTCTGCTACTGAGTTATACCCTCAGGTCCAAAGGAAATAATTTAGAACTAACTTCCCTCAGCTAGAAAGAAGACAGGAACAACAGAACACAATGTTCTACAGAGAAAAATTTAATCTTCACCATTCCTACTTCTCATGAAGGGCCTATAAATAGAAAATAAGTAAACCCACGTGAGTAAACTATGAAAGGAAAATATTTTCAGGAGAGATGAAAGCGAATCCTTCAGGATCCCCACCTAAGAGGCTCCATAAAATGCTGATTTAGAATAAAACAAGTCCTTCAAGAGATACTGCTAACATGAAGTCTGTCCAGCTTTCTTCATCATCCAGTAACCCCAGGCCTATGCAAAAAATCCATTGTGCAAGTATCAGACTGATAGGGGAGTTCAGCCAATCATATTCTGTTTTTGGGGCGTGCCGCCCTCAGGCAAAAGCCTGCCTATAAACCTTACAAACGCGCTCCGCTAGCGCTCTTTTCACCTGGCTCCTGTGTCTGGACGGATCGGTTGGATTCTGGTGTAAGCTGTTGTAAGTCTTACTTCTGTTTACTAAAGCTATATATTTTGTATCAAGATAGTCTGGGGACTTTTCTTTGCCAATCACCCTGCAGCTTCATCAGACTCAAATGGAAAAACCTACAACAACTCTGAATTTGGGTTAAATGGCCATAGGTACATCAGAGTCCAGACTATAATAGACTAAAATGTATCAACCTACCAAAAGCTTATCAAAATTGACCTCTAGATACCAGGTGGTGGTAGTGCATGCCTTTAATCCCAGCACTTGGGAGGCGGAAGCAGGCAGATCTCTGTAAGTTTGAAGCCAGCCTGTTCTACAGAGAGAGCTCCAGGGACAGTCAGGGCTGTTACACAGAAAAATCCTGTCTTTGAAAACAACAAGAACAAAACAATTGGCATCTAGGAAATGCCTTCAAGTCCTCTAACTGATGAAGACAGCATTCGTTTTCAGGCTTCATTTCTAGGCTTCTTCAAGTATGACAACAAGGTTTTTTTTTTAAGAATTATTATTTTAGGGGCTAGAGAGATGGCTCAGTGGATAAGGGCAATGACTGTCCTTTCAGAGAACCAGTGTGTCAATTCCCAGTACCCACATGGCTGCTAACAAATGTCTGTAATTCCAGGATCCAGCATCCTCACACAGACATACATACATACATATAGGCAAAACAGCAATGAAATAAAAATAAACAATTTTTTTTTAAAAAAAAGAATTATTATTTTAAGCCAGGGGATGGTGGTGCATGCCTTTAATACCAGCACTTGGGAGGCAGAGGCAAGTGGACTTCTGAGCTTGAAGCCAGCCTGGTCTACGCAGAGAGAGTTCCAGGACAGCCAGGGCTACACAGAGAAATCCTGTCTTGAAAATAAAAAAAAAATGACAACAAAAAAAGAATTATTGTTTGAGGGGGGAAAGACATATATCATGGCATATGTATGGAGGTCAGAGTTCAACTTTATGGAACGTGTTCACTCCTTCCACTTTTTCATGGGTTCCAGGTATCAAACTCAGGTAGTCGCACTTGCATGAATTTACCCATGAAGCCATCTTGCCTGCCTAAAAGTTTCTCAGTTGATAGCAAATGATAAATTTGAAGAGCAGGTGCCTCTAATCCACATATCCCGTCTTTAGGGATTCAGCTCAAGTCAATAGAAGCCCACTTATCCCTGCAGTGACTGCCTTTCATTCTCTAGCATCATGAGATAAACATTTCACAGTAAGCATGATTTCAACAATCCCCTTGAGGATAACCTCAAAAGAGAGCTGAGCATACTGACCTTCCAAACGTTCTACAAATAATCGCTTCAAGCTTTGGTAAATACCAATTTTGATGGTGCCATATGATGCCTGTCTTAGTAAAGCAGGGGCAATTCTTCCCAAAAAGAGAGAGAAAAAGAAAAGTTAATTTTATATAACACACATTTGTAGATTTTATAATTCTTTCATCTATATCTTTCCAAGCAGTATAGAATGCCTTTTTCTTACTCACCCATGAAGAAGGAAAGCTCACATCCCAGGTCATAAAGCAAACATCAACAAAGTAAAAAGAACTAAATTTATATAGACTATATTTCCTGATCATAATGGAAACAAACTAGAAACTGATAAGGAGGATGCTCAAACACTTGCAAATCAAACAATACACAACTAAAACAACATGTGGGTTAGAGAAAGCTGCAAAGAAATTTTTTTCAATGTATAGATATGAGTAAAATTTCAAATACATCCTATAATATACATGGGGTAACAACAATAAAAGGATGTCATGAATATGAGAGCGAGGAAAGAGATACATGGGAATGCGTGGAGGAAGAAAGGGAAAGAGGAAATAATGAAATCATAATTCCAATTTTTTAAATATTATTAAAAAAATTTAATACATGGGACACAGCTTGGTCTGAAAGTACAGGTCTGTAACCCGAGCTACTTGTGGGCTAAGGCAAGAGCTCCAGACCTGCTTGAACTAGAGTGAGCACAAGGCAAGCCTGAGCAGCTTAATATGGCCTTTTCATGTAAAAAGTAAAAAAAAAGTAGTTTACAGACAAAGCACTTGCACAGCATTGCTAGGCTCTAGATTCAATCACCAATATTAAGAAACAAAGGAGGGGGGCAGAGAATATGCAACCAAAGCATAGCTGAGAATAATCTATCGTCAAATTCTTACCCTAGCAGAGTAAACTCTCCAGAAGCCAACCTCTAGAACTATGAAAAATTAATGCCTGCTATTTATAAAGTGACCAGGCATATGGTACTTTGTCACAGTGGCCCAAACTAACAGTATTAAGAATTTCACAAAATAAAACTGAATTCATAGTTTTTTAATTTTCCATATTTTGTTTACTTTTGTTTTGACTACAAGTGTGTTTGTGCACCATGAGCATGCAGTGCCCACAGAGGCCAGAGGAGGGCATAAGATCTTCTAGAACTGGAGTAACAGGCAGTAGTTTAGTCGCCACATGGGTGCTGGAAATCAAACTCAGGTCCTACAGAAGAGGAGTCAGTGCTTCTACCTACTGAACCATCTCTCCAGCTCCATTGAATTAACAGTTTTATTAAAGTTCAAAAATAGAAATTCTCAGTCCAAACAAGTTTACTGAGGAGCTCCATAAAACCACTGAAGAATTATCATCAATCTTACACAAGCTCTCCAGGAAATGGAAGAGGGAATGTTTCCCAAATCATTTTGGCTAGTATTACCTTGGTAGCAAAAAAACAGACAAAAACAGTACAAACAAAAACCACAGACCTATATCGTTCATGAACTTAGATGCAAAAATCCTTAGAAAAAAATGAACAAATTGAATGTAGTAATATACAAAAGAGTTAAAACACTAGCCCACACCTCATAGGTTAAAAAAAAACCTCAACCTTTATTTCCTAACTGCAGATACATCTTTAATCCAATCAAAAAGGAAGCCAATAGCACCAAGATCTCAACCTATTTAAATTCTGCTCATAAACTGAAGATGTTCTCACTCATGCCTCCTTTGAGATTCATCCAAATTGCAGAACTATACTTTAGGAGATATAAATAGAAATAAAGCAACAGCTCAAATGGTTACGATTGAAGAAAAAAACAGCTGACTAAATCTGCATATTTCTGACTCTGTTACTTGCATTAGAAAAAGAATTCCAAGGTTATCTATGCTAATAGAGGAACAAGGGAAAAGAGATGACCCATGGATAATTTAATTCCGGATAAGGATCTTTTTTGTTTGTTTGTTTTCTTTTTCTTTTGTTTTTTTTCCTCCAAGAAAACTATAATTTAAATAAACTCAACCCAAATTACTAGGAAAATTGATTTCCATCCTCTCAGCAATACCGGTAGCCTAGATGTAGGATAGCCAGGAAATCAGCAGCAGGTGAAGTACAAACTGGACAATAAACCATAAACTGATGGGTAATCAAGAGGTGATGAAAAAAGATACTCCTTTTCTTCTATTCTTCATTCCTATTTAATCTGCCAGAATAATGTTTCTTTCACAAAGGAAATCTTAAAGGAAGCCAGTGCTTGCCAAATCAGGAAAGTTCTCACAAGAACCTATACTGCTAATTGGTGCTGCTTTTACAACAGCCATCAGTGAATGTCAGGAAGCCAGAAAAAAAAACCTTATGCTTCAATGATATTATCCACCTTCACATTCATTCTATGCAGCCAGATTATCACAAATTCCAAAGCTCAAGACTTACAAGCAGACGAAATCTACAAAAGCCCACCAATACAGAATTACAAGCAAAAATGGTGACTATGAAAGGTATAAACTAGCATGTAGTTGTTCATGCTCCAAGGAAAGAGACCAGACTTACCCTGAATACAGAGCCAAAATCCCCTCTTCTTTATAGATTCGGAACAAGGCATGAAACATCCCTCTATATTTTATCTCTTTGAAGCGGACATCGATGCTCTGGCCTTGGACTTGCAGTCGTGTTTTAGTAAGGTCCACAGGGAAAGTGCCTACGAGGGAATACACTCCTAAGCATTTACAAAGAACACAGGTATGTTTTGGCTAAATATAAGGCAATGCAATAGTGGAAATCTAACACAGAGTTTTTTTCATAACACTCAGATAAGTACTACACCATCACTGACAGAAGGTAAAGGCTTAAGTGGAGTGAAATGCACTAGGCTCTCTAGGAAGCACGACTTGCCATACAGTATACCTGATGCTTTCTGCCAGAAATGCAAAGGCGTTTAGATACTTCTTTTACTTTGTCTGAAACATACTAATGCCAATGGCATTAATTAGTCTTTTCCTCCCACTTTTTCCCACCTCAAGTCTCCTTATCTCTCCCTCATAAAATCTCCCCACATCGTCGCAAGCACAAGAACATCCAGGATCGCTGATTCAGATGTTCTTACATGCAGTAACAATAGGGTGTGAGCATGTGTATTTACGACTTCCTAATAGTATGAGAGAAATTGGCAAAGTCTCACTTGGTTCTACTCACCACGGTGTCTTTGAGAGTTCAGGAGTAACACCCACAGAGTACTTGAGCCATTATTTTTTTCAATTATGTGCTACTTATTTAATACATGTATATGTATGTGGGGGGGGTATATCTGCCACGGCTCATGCATGGAGGTCAGAGGACAACCTACAGGAGTTGGTTCTGTCCTTCAACCACATGGGTCCCAGGGATCAAATTCAGGTCCGTCAAGTTTGGCAACATGCATGTTGACCTGCGGAGCCATCCTATCGTCCCTAGCCGGATTCTCCAAAAAACAAAAGCAAAACTCCCTTTTCTTATCTCATCACATAAAAGTGGTTGTTGCATGAACAAAATGGGTTTTAAGAAAGATTTTAAGATCTAAAAAGGTCTTTATATGTGTAATTGTGAACTTTGGTGATCTGGACGGTGCAAGACCAGAGCATATACCAAGAAAGGCAGCAAACACTGCAGGATTGGAGATACTTAGGAAACATTCAGGAAAAAGAAAACTCGGGAAAATGAAAAGTCACAATCTAAAAACATTTCAAAATTTAAATCAAAAGAGAGATGACTCTTGTTTGATCTTGTTTACTTCTAAAATGGAAGAGAGGTTTGCAAAAAAGAAGCCTCAATAAGAAGAAAATTATAGCCTTAGCATAAATGTAAGACCATTAGTACAGGAATACACAGAAGTCATTGTCATATATAGTCCTCTATGATTACACATATTTGGCTTAGAAAAATTAACAAGTCACTAAGTTATCAAAAAGGTTCAAAATTTGACTTCTTAACCTCATTCACCTTAACATTACTAGTACCTTCTAGGTAATATTACTTGATAGCCATGCAAGAATAATATTATTTTTTGGTTTTTCAAGATAGAGTTTCTCTGTATAAGAGTCCTGGTTATACTGGAACTCAGTAAGAGTCCTGATTGGACTGGAACTCTGCAGACGAGGCTGGCCTCAAACTCCGAAATCGACCTGTCTCTGCCTCCCAAGTGCTGGGATTAAAGGCATGCACTACCACCGCCTGGGACAACAACAATTTTTAAAACAAAGATGACAACACTCTTTGGATTTATTCTCTGGTTTCCTCCAGAAATAACTGGTAGCATGCATAACCATCTGTGGCACATAACTCATATTTGTCATCCATTTTTCAGATTCTTACCGAACTCGGCAACAATAGAGGCAAGGCCGCCATACACAAAAGGTTTCCAGTTCAGACCAGACATCTCATGGCTTAAAGTGGAACTTTTCTGATGCTAAAAATAAACACGAATTAGAACAGGACACAAGAACGAAGAAAAGTACCGGTTAACGCTTGAGTTTATGATTTGAATCAACACAACTGGCAAACCAAAGAAACATGGAAGAAAAACTAAAAACCACCAAAATGGGATGAGACAAAACGGAGAGTCCTCCCTCATGTGCTGGATGCTCATGAGTTTCTTCTCTAATGTCATTCCGTAGGATAGGTGTGCAGTCACTTAAAAATGAACATGTGCCCTTCACGCTCTCTAATTTAACCGTCCGCTCTTCCCCACCCCATGAAGCTTCAGCCCATCCATCCAGCACACCCATCTTTGACATTCATCTAGACAATCACGAGTCAGGGAAACTGGAACTGAAGTTATATAGGCTGTGGCATCTTATAAAAGCAGTTCATGGTATTCAGTTAGCTTGATTCAGGCACAAAGCACAAGCTGCCAACACTACCCCCGTAACATTCCCAGCCCACTCAGCTCTCCACTAAAATTTACCATCTCAGTTCTAGGAACCGAGCGAGCTATACACCAAAGCAGCTAACTCAGTGAGACCCACGCTGAGCTAAGTAGCAATGCACCTTGCTTCTGGCTCCTGGAGAAGTGACAGCGGTGTGGATATATCCCATTTCTAACCCTGAACATCCTCCTTCCAGTGATCTCCTTTCCCTTCCCCCTGAACTGTAATAACATATCTAAGCACTATACTTCTCATGTTCTAATTCTTTATCGATGTCCTTCAGTCCCCAGCCCTTTTTACTTTATCCTCCATCAATTCAGTCTTAGATCTGTCATCCTAAAAATCTTCAGTTTTGCCAAGGAGGCGGTGGTGCACACCTTTAATCCTAGCACTTGGAGACAGAGGCCAAGGCATGCAAATCTCTTTGAGTTTGAGGCCAGTTTGTTTGACACAGGGAGTTGCAGGACAGTCAGGGCTATACAGAGAAATCCTGCCTCAAAAAACAAAAACAAAAAAACCTTCAGTTTTACTTTTTCTGCCATTCTCAGCTCTTGGATTTGTTTTCCACAACTCTAGCATCTAGGCAGATATTTGTCAAATTGTAGCACGCAACAGAATCATCTAAAAGGTTATTAAAACATGGACTGCAGAGCCTCTTTCTCAGAGTTTCTGATTGGTTTAAGTCTTGCCCTGAGAATCTGCAAGGTCTCAAAGAATACTGATGCTGTAAGAAAGAACTATTGCTGTAGGCATCACCTGCTAAATCCCAGGCCTCTTGAAAACACTATTTTTTCTTAAAAGAATCTCAGATTTCTTTGAACTATTTCCTTCTTTTCCAGAGCATATATATTTCTGATTTCAAAAGAGTTTACAGTCAAAAAACAACACCCTGAAATCAGATCATCTAACACTGAATCATGGCTCCAGATTCACATCTTGACTATCACTTACTACTTGTTTGTGGGAAAGTCATTCAATCTGTCTCTGCCTCCATTTTCTGAAAACAATAATAACAAAAATATATTATAGGGTTTTTGTGTTGTATATAAGTAACACATTTTTAACACCTAGAAAAATCCCTGAAACTTTGCTTAATAAGTTAGATAGTTATTACTACATATTTTAATAAATGTATTTTTTAAATAAATAAAATAAATACTTTATTATTAAATAAATAAAATAAATACATTTTCATAGACAGCATTCGCTGTCCATCTTCCCCTTGCCAGTTTGGGTTAGTATCATTGAGCCACCATTTGTTCTTAGAGGAAACAGGGTTTTGATTTATTTTTTACAACAGTAATTCTCTGAAATAAAGCAAAGAGCAATTTTCCAGAGAGGCTAGCAAGCATGTAAATAAATGTATTAGCTATACTATAAAAATAATTGTGGAAACTTCCTTTCAAACATAGTATATATATACTGCATGTGTGAGAGATACCTCTATTGGAGGAAAGTTCATTAAAACTCTAAAGAGCAAAGTAGGAATTGATAGGAAAAATAGGACTATGGCATGCCTCCTGAATTTCAAAAAAAAAAAATTAAACCAGATGTGGTGGCCCATGCTTGTAAATCCAGCACCTAGAAAGTGGAATCAGGAGGATCAGTAATTCAAGTCACCCTTTCCTACAGAGGGAATTTGAGACCAGACTGAGCCATATAAGACCCTGTCTCCAAAAGAACGCACAAAAAGGAAGGAGAAAAATCACTCTCTGGTGTCAAATTTAGAGATTTCCCTAAATAGCTTTTGATATTTCAAATGTCTGCTGTGCTTCTCCCCCAGACTTCCGTTTACAACTTCACGCACCCTTTCTCAGTACAGGAAAAAAAATTCTACCACATCTTTATTACCTACTAGCCAATGTTTCAAAAAAATAGAGTGTTTTAGCATTATTATTTTGTGTGTGTGTGTGTGTGTGTGTGTGTGTGTGTGTGTGTGTTTGCTTACATGTATACCTCTGTACCACATGCATGCCTGATGACCACAAAGGCCAGAAGAGGGTGTTTGAATCCCTGGAACTGGTTACAGGTGGTTATGAGCTGCCATGTGAGTGTTTGGACTTGAACCTGAATCATCTAGCAGAGCAGCTACTGTTCTGAACAGCTGAGTCTTCTCTCTAGCCCTCTATTCAGTCTCTTAATGGAAAACGTGCTCAGAATTCAGGAGCAATAACAAATCACTGAAAGTTGGGCCAGAGTCAAACTAGGAAACAGAAAGGCCGGTCACTGGATCTTAGGTCAGGTAGTCCAGCGGCTCCCAATGAAGTTTCCACAATTCAGAGGTGATAGAAAAACAAAACAAAACCTAGGGCTGCTTTCTTTTTTCAGTTAAACGTATGTCATTTAAATGACTATTAAATCATATTGTTTATCCCTAGAGCACTGGCAAATCGCCTCTCTTACATAAAATGATAATAGTAGTAGGTAGTTGATAATATTTACTGTCTTTATTTGGCAAAAGAAGCATAGTGATCTTCATCTGTATCCCCTCCTCCATATTTTCATTTCAGTTTCATTAGTCTATAAAATTATACAAGCCTGGAGAAGACTAACCAAAACCAACAATGTCCCTTTACCACTTCCCCAGTCACATCTGATAATAAAATCTTTTGTTCCAATGTCAGAAATCAAAGTCATGAAAGAAATTTTGTACCTCCTTTGATTAGACTTTATACAGCCCTTCCTCACACCAGAACAACTTTGAGGCACATTGAACTCCTTATGTTTCCACAAAGGAGTCCTTAAATATTTAAAGGCAGCTCTCATGTTCCTACATTTTTCTTTTTCTAAGGCTAAATAGTCCTGATCATTTTCTTCATTCTATATGTTTTACTTCAGCTACTATAACTGAAGAACCTCTGTTTCTTTTCAGAGAGGCTTATCATACAACTGAAGCATTAAAGTTCCAGCAAATACCAGAGTCTTTTACATAAAGATATATAATTTGCTGGACCTGGACAATACCATACACCTTATACAACACTCTCCTGATTCCCAGATTCTCTACATATAAACCCTTGTCTCTTGCTTTTGATGAAGAGGATTGCTTTGTAAAGCAATTCATATCCCAGCTCCTCATAAAGTCATTTTGACTTGTGGAGGCTAACCTCAGTTTGGGGTGAAAGGACAGAAATAATATCTAAGTAGCAATACAGTACCCTAAATATATTATTATTTAAAAAGGCCAATAAAATTTGTCTTCAGAATTTGTGCATCTATTCTTAAAATCTGATTGTAGACATCTTGATAGCCTAATTAGTAACAATAAAAATATCCTAGAATCCATATTATATAGCCCCTACACTTATTTCAAAGTCTGTTCGGGAAATTCTGGGTGACGTTCTTGGTTTCTCCTTTAAGAAAGAGTAGGTAATAGACATGCTCATGTTTGGAAGATAGCAATAGAGAACCTAAAGCTATGTGTTAAAGGCATACTAAATACTCAAACCTGAAATTGTCTATGAATATAATTGTCAAACTTTTCAAAATCACAGCCTAGTGTGGTGATGCATGTCTTCAAATCCAGCACCTGAGAGGCAGAAGCAGGTGGATCTTTGTGCATCTGAGGTCAGACCAGTCTATACAGTGAGACCCTGTCTCCAAAAAAATTTCACAGAAATATATTCAAACATAGACACTATTTGCCATTCCAACTATCTTCCCTGGATAATCATCTGGTGGAACAAATTAAATATTTTTGCTAGAGAAAAATTGTTAGAGACAAATTAAGTGTTGAACTGCATAGAAATCTATAAAGCAGGGAAGCATGGAAAAGAAAACAATAGGCATGCGTTTGAATAATTTGGAAAAGCTCTTGGAAGTGAGAGAACTTAAATTGGGTCTCAACAGTGAGCAGACTGAATCTGGGTAGGAGCAAATATCTGGGAAGGGTGAGCAGGGTACATAAAGACAAATGTGCAAACATACACAATCATGTGGAGGTAGGAATCGGTATAGTTTGTACTGAGACAGAAATCAAGGACCCAAGCAGAATACACAATATGCATATTGGCTGAACAAGTGAAAGGAGTAGATTCTACCGAGAGGCTTGAAAACAAGATGTTGGAGGAAGACTAGTTCTATTACTAGCGAAGTGAATTAAGGTAATGCCCTATTTTAATTAGCTACTAGGGACCACAAACACAGTAGATTGCAAACAGAGAGGTAAGGAAATAGCTTAGGAGGGTGTGAAGTAGGCAGAAAAGAATACTTGTTAGCATTGGGGTTAATCTGTTGAAATGGAGACAAAAGACATTTCAGGATATAAATGAGAAGGAGGAAAGAGTTAACGTCTACTTTAAGCACCTCTAGGGGCTGGGCAAGGAAGCACTGGTAGAAAACTATAAATGCCCCTGCTTATTATTGTCTGAGAAACAAAATTCATGTTGATAATAGCTGTGATCCCAATCAAGTAACTGAACTGCATTTTAACAGATGCCTTCAATGCCTCAAGCTCAGGAGTGACAGGGGGATAGAAAGTGATGGGGGAGCATCTCTCAACAGCAGCCCTCACACTGATACAATGGAGATGTTTGCTTACTCCGCTTGCAATCACAGCCGCCGTTGCAAACTTCACCCTTAGAAAAATTAGGATTATTCCGGGAAAGATACCCATTCACCCTCTGGGTAGCAGGATCTTGCCAGTTCCTCAGCTGTCAGAGCGAGTTCGGAGAGAAGGGAGGCGCCTGAAGGAGGCAGCCTCCCAGGGGGGTCGAGGAAGCAGGGTTCAATCGAAGAAGTAAAGCCACCGGTGCCAGAAGAGTGAAAGACAGGGAAGGGACTCAGCTGAGGGGAGAGAGAGATCAAAGGACTGTTAAGCCCCTCCCAGGCCGAGTACCAGGCCAGCCTGGCCCGCGCGGCCTTCCGCAGCCCAACCCCGCTCCCCAACCTGGAAGTCCAGGAGCTCCCCCTCACCTGCTCAAGCTCATCAGACGACTGGGAAGCAGAGGCTCCCACGGTAGGAAACGCCACCGCAGCGCCAACCCGGAAGCATTGAAATGAACGGAAGTAACAAGGCGTCGCCTCGGCAACAGTGGCGCAGCCATCCTAACTCCGCCTTCTCCTAGCCCGAAAAGGAAGGCGCGAATGAAAGGAAACCATTAGGGTCAAAAGGCCAGAGTCCAGAAGGCTGTGCAAAAGGGTCAGGAGCCAGCCACCTGCCTTTCCGGAGGGGGAGCTACGGTGGGAGAATGTGGCCGCTTCTGCAGCAAATGTGCTCCCCAGAGAGGGCAGAGGAGATGCCTTGTCACCCACCCGGGGTTTACCCGAGCAGATGGTCCCCTAAGCCTCAAAAACGCAAGGCGGTAGGAGGCGCAATGCATGGAGGGAGGTGGGGCAAATGATTTAAGATGAAAATGGGAGAATTTCTTTTGCCTGCTTTTCGTACCCTTTTCCTACGGGGGCGGGAGACTGGGAGCAGAGGAGGGAGGGGCAAATTGCGGTCATGGATGTAATATATGAGAGAATAAATAAATACGTACATAAATGATTTTTTTAAGATTGGGAATTTAAGATAAAACTGAGAACTAGGACGTGAGCGGAATTTAGACACCGAACCGGGGCTCAGAAAGAAAAATGAAGATGATAGAAGCAAATAAGCCTCCCCCACTGAATGTCAGCAGCAGTCGCTGAAAAATTACTAGCCTAGAGACAGAAACTTCGGAACAAGTTGAGAACGGAATGGGGACCATGAAAAGTTAAAGCGAACGAATCTGAAGAGAATAATGGGACAAATCCGCACCTCACAATTGGCTAGAAAAGCTTGACCACCAGCTTCAGACCCCAGTTCCCAAGGCCACTGGAAGAGAAAACCAGAAACTTCTGGGTAAATCCATTAGCTAAATTATTATTAATAATAATAGCAGCCCCCAATTTTTTCACTGTATCACAGTTTCCACAATCACACAAGTGTTAATAATGGTGTTTTTTTTATTTACATAAGTATAAGTCAGTGAGTTCAAGGCACACAGTCCTGAGATTATTTGCTGAATAAGGTAATGTTTTGAATTTTTTTATTCCTAAAGAATCTTCCACATCTTGTTCACATCTACTTTTTTAAATTTCTTCAGGCAGCACTCATGATATCATGATGACATTATGGAGCACTTAACCATGTGCCAACGTGATGCTAAGAGCTTTTTTGCTTGAAGCTGCCTTACAAGGTTGATACAGTTATTTTCACCTCCTAACAACTAAGAAAAATTAGGTCATAAAAGTGAAGCAGAGTTATGTCATAACAGGCAGAAGTCGGATTTCAACTTGAGACTGACTTAAGTGCCCAAACGTGCAACTTGACTTGAGAGCCCAGACGTACAACTCTAAGAATGTCTTCGTTAGAAGGGCGGTGGTGGCACACACCTTTAATACCAGCACTTGGGAGGCAGAGACAGACAGATCTTTGTGAATTCGAGGCTAGCTTGGTCTACAGAGCAAGTTCCAGCACAGGCTCCAAAGCTACAGATAAACCCTATCTCAAAAAATAAAAAATAAATCGAATTCCTTCGTTAATGTCAGAAACTTCATTACTCTAAAGATAAGAAACACCTGCATGCATTCCAAAATGTGAATTCTAGGAGACAGAAGAGATGTCTCAGCAGTTAAGAGCACAAGCTGCTCTTCTTAAGAGGACAAGAGTTCAATTCCCAACACTCAGTCCCAGGGTTCAAAAGACCCCTGTAACTCCAGTCCCAGGGCTCAAAAGACCCCTGTAACTTCAGTCCCAAGAGATTCAATGGCATTCACTGACACCAGGCACTCAAGTTGTGTGCAGAAATACATGCAAAAACACCCATATATATAAAATAAATGTTTTTATTTTAAAATGTGAATTCTTTCGTTTTAGACAACAGTAGAGCAATACCCTTTTAGACAAATGGGTAAAATCCTGTGTGTAGAGTCCTTATAACTTGGAAGGTTTGGACTCTCTTCAGCATAGTATATGTACGGCTATTGATGTGGGAAGTCCTCCTGTACATGTGTTGCTTTTATTGGTTAATAAACAAGCTGTTTTCAGCCAATGACTTAACAGAAAATAGCCAGGTTGGAAGAGATACATATAGAGAGAGTAGGCAGAGTCAAAGTGAAGCCATGTAGCAGCCTCCAGGGACAGAGGCCTCTGCTGGATCCTGCAAAAACTGCTGTTAGGCCATGACTTCATGGTGATACATAGATTAATGGAGATGGGTTAGTTTAGGATATAAAAATTAGCCAGAAATACGCTTAAGCTTTTGAGCAAACAGTATTGCAAATAATATAGTTCCTGTGTGATTATTTCGAGTCTGAATGGCCGGGAAATGAATGAGCAGCCTCCCCCAACAAGCTATGGCCTGGTTTTGCATTTCACATCCAATTCACTGAAACTTGTAGAATTATGACCTGCCCTTGGGCAAATCACTATCGTAGCTTTTGTACAAAACTGTATTTTCCCACTCAGTCACTATTTCCAACAGTTAATCTAGTTAGCAACTAGGTAAATTTTTAAAGGGTTCATTGTTTTTAAATGACTCATGTTTAAAATTCTACATGTGAGCAAAAAATAGCAATTTAGGAACATAAGCATACGCCATATTAACACATTTGCAGTTTGGTTGCATTATTTCAGTTTTCACATTCTTTAGTACTATAACACAAAAATCTAATCCCCCTTATCAAAGTTGTACATTTCCCTTATAAATTACCTTCTATTTTCTAGTCTCTCCCATAAAGACCAGTTTTTGATCACACATATTCTGTCTTGGGTTATATTTAAGTTCTTATCTATCTAATTATATAAGCTATTCAAGAGGACAGAATCATGAATTCTAATTCTAACGTAACTTGGAAGTTTTATGGACCCTGCTAAAAAAATCTCTTGCTGCTCCTAAGAGCCACTCTCTCCCTCTCCTTTTACCCTTTCTATCAGCGTTGAGTTTTTTCCAGACTGCCACAAAGAAAGAAAAAAAGGAATTCTTCAAGATTGTGTCAACTTCGAGATACTAGCCAAGTTCCTTAGATTCGTGAGGGTTTCTAAACCTTTCTTTTTCTATTTTTTTCCTATGCTTAGAGGATCAACCTAGGACCTCAGGTACGCATGCCAGACAAGTGAGCTTCCACTGAGCTCCAACCTAACCCAAAATATTTGAAAAACTCCCATTTCAGATTCTAGTCAGTAAAAAATACTAATGAGACAATTTCATCTCTTTGGGACTAAATCGCTGTGTATTTTATACTTGCATCACTCCTCAGATTCAGACGACGCACTTTTTCAACTGCTCGGCAGCCACATGTGGTAGGTGACAGAGATCTGACTCATTGCTCTGACAGATGCATTGTCACATGCCTACTCCAGAAAGCCCTCACCAGAGCATCTAGGTCCCTGCTACTCAACCGAGACCAGCTAACACTATCAGGAACACTTGGAGCTGGTAAGAAATTCTGATAGTCAGACTCCAGCCAAGTCTTATTTAAAACAGTATCAGCATTTTGCATGATGCCTATGTGGTTAGTTTGCATATGAAACCTTAAGAAGACTGCTTTCACCTCTTCTTGCACACATCCAATTCATACCCGAGGCCTATACTACCCTTAAGTGATTTGAAATCATGACAAAAACATTTATCAATCTTTTATTGGATTTTCTTCATAAGCCCAGAACTATATCATATTTAAAGAGCATTTTGAGGTAGGGGCTAATTTTGGCTCCTAATCTTTTGTGGTTGTTAATTATTGTTTTGTGGGAAAAATAGAACTTTTCATAAAAATTAAAATATTTTATCTATTTTCTTGTATTGTGGGAAAATTTTATTTTAGAATAATTTGTAGGAGGGCGTGGTGGCACATGCCATTAGTTCTAGCACTCAGGAGGCAGAGACAGGTGGATCTCTGTGAGTTCAAGGCCAGCCTGATCTATTAATGAAGTTCAAGAACAGCCAAGCCCGTTACCTAGAAAAATCTTATCTTGAAAAAGAACCTAGAATAATTTGAGTTCACGGAGAAGTTATAAAGATCCTGCTCTCATCAGCTTCTCCAAGCTACCCTTAATTACTAACATTTATGGGACTTGGCATGTTAGTTAAAAAGCACGACATTTATGTGTTATAACACTACTAACAGAGACATTCTGAGTTCTCCAGCTTTTACATGAATTTCTTTGAATCATTATAGTTTCCAATTAAGGATTATATGTTGTATTCAACTCCCACATCAGTTCCCATACATAAGAGAAGACCTGGTACAGACCTGTGCCATGAAGAACCCTCCTTGCCCAAGGTTAGAGTTTGTTGCTTCAGTCTCTCTGAGTTCATATGAGCTTTGATCATGGTGATTTAGAGGACCTTGTTTTCTTTGTGTCCTCCATCTTAGTGTCCTCTCTCTCTCTCTCTCCCTCTCCTTTTTTATTTAAAAATAGATTTTTTCTCACATAATATATCCTGATTATGGCTTCCCCTCTCTCTACTCCAATTCCTCCCAACATCCCCGCCCATTCAGATCTGCCCCCTTTTGTCTCTCCTTAGAAAGCAAACAGGCTTCTAAGGGGATATAATATAATATAATAATGTAATGAGCTAAAACAAAAACTAACACATAGAAATTAGACAAAATAAACAGAAGGAAAGAGCAAAAGAGAAGGCAAAAGAAACAGATACCCACTCCTTTGCACACTCAGGAGTCCATAACGACACTAAACTGGAAGCTATAATATGTAACAGAGGACCTGGTACAGACCCATGCAAGCCCTATACATGCTGCTTCAGTCTCTGTGAGTTCGTATGAGCTTCAGTTGTGTTGATTTAGAGGGCCTTGTTTTCTTGGTGTCCTCTATTCTCTCCGACCCTTACACTCTTTCTGCTTTATCTTTCACAGGCTTCCCTGAGCCCTGAGGGAAGGGATTTGATCTCATTTAGGGTTGATGTTCTCAGGTCTCTCACTCTCTGCATAATATCTGGTTGTGGGGCTCTGTATATTTGTTCCCCTCTGCTTTGAGCAGTGTCAGGTATGGATTCCATCTAATGCAATGGTCCTTAAACCAAATCAGGAATTGGTGGTTACTCCCACAGCTTTGTGCCACCATTGCACTAGCACATTTTAGAGACGGGACACCATTGTAGATCAAAAGGCTTGTGGCTAGATTGGTGGTGTTGTTTCTCTTTTGAGAGCTTGCAGAGTACCTTTGTGTATGAAACACTAGCACATAGGGGTGAAGGCTCTTTGAGGCACCAGCTCATCTTCTCCATTTTCAAAGAGTTGTGTAGATGTTGTTTTCAACAATGGGGACTTGCTGTCAGTTTCTGGAAAACAACCTATAGT